GGGGCCCCCCCGCCCGCCGCCGCCCGCGTCTTCGCGGGGGGAACTCCGCGTCGCCGTCGGGGAGGTCGACAAAGCGATCGCGGTCGTCGTGGTGTTGGTCTTTGAGCTGGTGGAGGGACATCGCGGCGTCGCCCAATTCGGACGAGGCCGTGGGGAAATAACAACCGGGAAACACATCCACACGGTCGTGGGGATAGACTGCCCCTTGGGGGGAATGGCTCGGGCTGTGGCCTGGGGAGTACTTTCGGGAGAAAAAGGTCTCCCACCGCCGCATGAATAAGAGGACCTCCAGATCGACCTGCTGTTTGGGCAAAGGTCGTAGCCACGGATGCAGCAGTAAATCGTTCTCACTGCGCTCCACAGCAATCCCCAAGTACTGATTAAATAATGCCGATACCACTCTCTGACGTAGCCGCTCAACGCCCCGACCGACATCATCCATCATGAATTGGAGCTCTTGATAAATAAGCCTCAGAGTTAAAGGGGCACGACGACGGCGATTGATTTTTTCGAGAAAAAAAGACTTCCAGCTACTTCGCTCACGTTCTATCGTGGTGGGGATTGAGGACGCTTGCGAAGAACACCGACATTGTCGTTTTCTTCTCTTGAACAGATATCTTTTGTCATCCGCCGACAAATCGGTGTGTAAGCTGTCAGTTTTATCAGACAACGCCTTCTCCAGAATAGAATTATTGGAAGAAAAAGATCCCTGTTTGATTTCGCTTAGCGAAGTACAAGAAAGAGAAAATGAATCCCGTGAACGGGTGGTTCTCTCCACGACGGAGTTCACGTCGGCATCGTGCGCACTCCGCCTGACGGTAACAGGCTTCCCTGCCATGGCAAATAAACGTCCTTTCTGCTTTACAGGAGGCTCCGCAGCGTCCGTCGCGACTTCGGAAACCGTTTTTTCCGAAGGCGTTTTCTGTAAGAAAGAAGTGTTTGGATGACTTTTCTTTCTCGTGCAGCCTTTCCGGCGCTTCGTGTTGACACCATGCCGCCGCCGCCGTCCCCTCCGAGAGGAAACAAAGGATCTATAACGACGCGAAACGGCCTCGCAAGCGACCAATTTGGACCTCTCCTCGAAGTTGTATTGCACCAGTGCCGCCGCCATCACTGTTTGCCAGACCGAAACCAGATCATGCGATAGATTGAGGATACTCCGCACGTAGTCCTCCAGTAAGACGGATGCGCAGCTAATCTCCGCAAGCAGGCTGCAAAAAACCTGCAGCCGTCGCGATGAGATCACGGTGTTCGCCATCTGGGCACGCATCAGCGTGAGGGGAAAGTTCACCGTGCTCTGAGGATGCGTGGAGGCGCCAACCCTGGAAGGCACCAACTGATCGCGCGTGTTGGGGAAGTCCGACCCAACGGAGGTGTTCGTCGAGTTCACAGCCCGCAGCATATTAGCATTATTAATCGTAAGCATATGCATCGATGTTAAACCTATCCTATGGGCACATGCTACATTTTATGACTCTGGTTTGTGTGTGTGTGCGTGTGTGGATGTTGAAATTGAAGATGGACGTAGTTGATTGCAGGAGAGTTAATGCTTTACAGTATGCTATCGTGTAAGATGTCTCACAGGGGCACTATATAGTTTTTGAGTGAAAAATATGGGCAATTAGAAAAATACTGCAAAAAACAACAAATAAGCGGAGAACGAATGATCCAAAATTATCATTGAACTCTAGATGCAATTAGCGTCCCCCAGACGCTTGCTACTCGATCTAACACACATAAGTAAACATGTATGTACAGATTGGAGAGTAGAAGCACGTTTTCGGAGAGATTTATTACTTGATAATTATCTCTCGATATTAGGAACACTTCCTCTCCTAAGCTGTAGGTGAAAAATATACACAATAAAGGGAGAATAAAACGAAGGGAGACACATCTTATGCAATAATCAGTCACATCATGCATGAAATTTTTTTTCCCCGCTTCCCCTCCCTGCTCCTCATACACTTTGAAAACGGATAACCAGGAAAAAAAAGACCCCATCATATTCTCCTTACTATGTCTGCAACTCTTTTGATAGACGCTTCATCTTTTCCACCTCATCTTTTTGTTGTTGAATTTCAGCACTATCTATGGCTTCATGCATTCTGCCAATAATTTCGCGTTTTGCACGCATCACTTGAAAGCCAGGAATCGAATTGTTTGCATCAAGGTTCATGAATCTAAGAATATCATCAATATCTTCGCTCATCGTGTTCCTTCTGTCACACTCCAATGAAGGAAGAAAATTTTTGATAGTGCCAAAATACAAAGTAAGACCTAGTATGACACCAATTATGCAATTCGTGAAAAAGTTGTTCTTCTCGAGCCAGCGGTCAAGCTGCACTTTGCGCTGATAAAAGAAGTAATGACGACGAAGAATCGGATCGATAACATACCAAAAGGAATAAGTAGCCCATCTGAAAATCGCCTTCGACTGATACCCAGTATCAGGAATTCTGGAAAGTCGGCGGACACTACATGCAAGCATGCTATTGGAGAATTTAATACGAAGGGTTTTGTTCGAAAAGACGCCCACACTACCCTACTGAGTGCGTGTATGTAATGATGGTTTGCCTTTTCCTTCCTTCCTTTAACTAGCTGAGATAAAATATTAACAGGGAAACACACTTTCTTGTTTGTCAGTTTTTTCATGCAATAAAACAATGAATGAGTATTCCAAGAATTAATACAGTTGCGGCAAACAGCTTTCCTCTTTTTTTTTCATTTCGGTTTGGATTGTGGGCACATATAATAGTCATTACCGCACCCAACACGAGTTTTCTCTGTGACCATCTAATTTAAAGCCCGCAGAAAAACTGCTTAGGCATGATAAAAATATTTTGCATTAAACAAGTTTAAGGAAAATAAGATATGAAACGTTAGTTAGTAAAATTACGAAAACACTTAGCAATGATGTTTTTTTTCTTACTGATTTTCACTCAACTCAGCCTCCCAAAAAACACTTGAATAAAAAACACACTTACCCGCATATAATACTTCTAAACACACGCCGTAACTTTCATTTGTGTCTCAGAAAGTCAATCAAGAGCTGAACGCCGTACCCGGTCGCGCCGGCCGGGTGGAAGCCCTTGGGCTTGTCGCCAACATCCGACACGCCAGCAATATCGATATGTGCCCACTCCTTCCCGGGCTCCACAAAGTGTGAAAGAAAAGCCGCTGCCGTGGAAGAACCGCCGCCAGACTTCCCCGGCGACACATTGACGAGATCCGCGAGGCCGCCCTTCATCAGCTCGGCATGCTCGTCGCCGATGGGCATCGGCCAGAGCTCTTCCCCACTTGTCGTCCCTGTCAACATGAGCTTCTCCGACAGCTGCGCGCTATTACTAAAAAGCCCCGCGCGGCGGTTGCCGAGGCCCACGATAATGGCCCCCGTCAACGTCGCCAGATCGATGATCGTCTGGGGCACCTTCGCCAGCTTCGAGTGGCGTTGGACGTAGGTCAGGACATCGGCCAACACAAGGCGACCCTCGGCGTCGGTGTTGAGGACCTCCACGGTGGGACCGGCCAGGCTCGTGAGGATGGAAGACGGGGCGTAGCTGCTGGGCCCGATCGCGTTCTCCGCCAGCCCCACCGCAGCGACCAAGTTAATAGGCAGCTGCAGGGTCGCAGCGGCCTTGAGCGTGGCCAACACCACACCCGCCCCCATCATGTCCATGTGCATCCCCTCCATTGACCCGAACGGCTTCACATTCAACCCCCCGCAATCAAAGGTCACCCCCTTCCCAACCAAAGCGGTGGAATGAGCGACGCCCTTATTCCCGACGTACTCCAGGACCATGACATAGGGCTCGTGAACGGAGCCCTTGCCCACGCTGTAGAGAAGGTTCATCCCGGCCTCCTCCACCTGCCGCCCGCGCAGGACCTTCCGAAGCACCACTCCTTCCGACAGCACGTACTTCTTCGCCCACTCCACGTAAAACTCCGGGACCCCCTCGTCCTCGCGCAGGTTCCCAAGGTTGCGGGCGTCATTAATGCAGGCCCCGATCACAGCCCCGGTTTTCACAGCCAAAGCCTCCCCGGAGGCGATGACCATCTCCATCGGCGGCTCCTTTTCCGCGTCGGGTTTCCCTCGCGAAGGGGATTTCACTGGGCTGGGGCTCTCCACGGCCCCCGCATACACCGCCTCGACCGCTTTGGCCTTTCCGGTCTTGAGGCGATTGTATTCATACGCGGCCGTCGCCGCATAGCAGGCCGTCTTTTCAGCCACCTCCTGCTTTGTCAGCGCCCGCGCCGGGTGGAAGACATCCGCGGTGGTCAAGACGTCGGTGGTGGGGGGGTGAATATTTAAGTAGCGCGTGCCTATCTGGCGAGCCTGGCGTACCGCGTTCGTGATTGCAAGACGGTAGTCCCGAATATGACCGCTCGTCCCACACCCGGCGAATAATTCATGGGTTTGGCCTATCGGGGTGGAATCCGAAGCCGCGGCGTCCTTTGCGCTCTTCTTACAGCTTATCAGGTGCACCTTTCCGGCACTCCCATCAAACCCCGGGGCGGCTTTACCAGGTCTATCGCCATTCTTCACCTGAGATTTGGTCACGAAGTGGAGGGAGAGCGCGTTTGCCTTGACCGTCTTGGCCTTGGCCGCGGGAAGCTCACTGAGTGCAAGCACCGGGGCTGAGCTTGGGAATTGACCACGAGAAAAAACGCGACGGAGCATGAGAAAGTGCCTAGAATATTCTGCTTATAAGTTATGCTTTAGTAAACGAATATGTATAGATATATCTTTTTAGGGTTATGTTTATGTACCTCTCAGTTTTCCTTATTTAAAAGCAAGATAAATAATAAACTTAGAAGTAAAAATTAAAATTTCAAGTGTTCAAAATATATGTTCTACATGCCGATATTGTCAAAAATAAAATGGATAAGAATCCAGCACAGCTAATGAAGAAAATTAAAGTTATGTAGTAGCGCCTCTTCCATGCCTTCAGATGTTTGATCAAACATCATGTAATGACATATATAAGAAAAGCAACGAAGATGGACCACTTTTTTGAGCCTACAGTTCATATCGACCATAATCTTGAACTCGTAAATGGTACTCATTTGGATCTATATTCCTATCTTCATTTTGAATTGCCAAGAATGAAAACTGTTCTATGGTTGTATATTCTTAAGGATCACATTTGAATATCAAATGTTTATCAGGGTTCTAAAAATTATACATATACCTGAATCGGATATTTCAAAGATTGGGCATACTGAATCTGTATAATGAATCAACACATAAATATATATATATATATATATATATATCTAATTATTACATGAGGACATTATCTATCGATGTGCATCAAAAAAAAATCCTCTGTGAAAAAGGTGACCATATCTATATCCTAACACTTTTCTGGAGTCTCCCCACTCTTCGCCAGGCCCGTGAACTGGAATAAAGATTCGAGCGGTAATATATACCCCTCGGGATTCTAAAAATGTCACGCGGATGCGCTTACCAGGCTGATATATGAATGAGTTAAGTCCGCCTGGGTCACCTTCTAATGGTCTATCTGTCGAATCAGGAATAGGAGTATGACGATGGTGGTGGTGATGATTGTGGTGGTGATGGTTGTGGTGGTGCCGGCTTGGGGAACTAGAGGGGGAATTCACCACAGGTACCGCAGAGGCCGGGGGTGTAACGTCGAACATAGCTGGTTCTTTATTGTTCAGGGTGTAAACAATCATCGAATGAGCTGGTGGGTCATCAAACTCTAATTCTATTTCCTCACACGACACACATATCACCGGGGGTGGCAATAGCGACGCGGCAGTTGCGCTGTCCCCGAGACGTTTTCGACTAGGGTTTGCGTGATCTACCGAACCTCTCGTACAGTCATAGATGGTGGCCACACTACGCAAAGGGCAAGCATCAGGGGTCGGCATGTCTATCCTGCCCTGGCGAACAAGACTGCGAAGATCGGGTACGGTATCCTCGGCCTCACCGTCGCGAACCCCCGCGGTGCCTTCGAAGCCCTGCCGGAGTCTCCGCTCGTCGATCGTCCAGGCGTAGACGAAGCCCACGTCCTCCTCGAGCGGGATGGGCTTGCCGTCGTACACGATGCAGCGGTGTTCGCTAAACCGGGCCTTCCGCCGGGCCTCGGTCTGGTAGATGAGTTCGTAGCAGATGCGGGAGCCCGGTGGGGTGGCGTGGTCGTCGAAGTACAGCCGCGCATTCCGCGCGCACAGTCGTAGGGTGGGGGCGGGCAAGAAAGGGTCGAGGTAGGAGTGGCCCGCGGGGTGGACCTCCAACGTGGCCACGGCGACCGCACTTACGGCCGCCCCGCGCAGAGCGAGGGCGTGGAGGGTCACCAGCGCCGGCCG